CCACCGAGGCTCGCAGCGGTGATAACCTGTGTTAACCTTACATCTTTGTTCTGTTAATTTCAAATGCTCTAGAAGATTCATCTGCCCCCGCGATGTAGGTGAGTGCCGTTCTTATTTCCCAGGCTGGAAAAGTGAGACCAAAAAAAAAAAAATCTGCCCAGCATTTCATCATGTTATAAGTTAATGGCTGAAACCAGGAAAGAGCTGCAAAGTTGCCTGCTGGAGTCACCTAAATGCATCTTGTAAATCATTAGCAATTGCATTAGTAATAAAGCACATGAGAACATAAGTCAAGAATCAGTTTGAATTTTTGTCATTTTCTTCTGTCAGTGGGATGTGTCCTCACAGGTTTTGCAGTGAGTTGACTTGCACTTCCCAAAGTACCACTTCAGTGGGAGGAGAAATAGCTTGTATAGGAAATGTTATCTAAAATAACTGTGCAAGTCTGGGTCAGGCAAAAAAAAAAAAAAAAGCATTATTCTATGAGCTGTTTTCCTAGTATGCTCTTCTGTTGTTCTTTCTGGGAAGTCATTGGGCGTTTTATCAATGGATGATGCTTTCAGCACTTGGTTAATGTTATAAGGCAAGAACTATTCTTCTGTATGATACTATGGCATTTCACTGTGTTTCATGTCTTTTTTGGCTAGGTTGTGTTTTCTTTTTTTTCCAGGGAATGTTTACACCTCTCCTTATTCATGAGGTCTTTCCCAAATACCCGTAAAGCCATCTCAACGTACTTCTTTAGTGCTTAAAACTCTTCTCTGCAGTGATTACGACAAGAAGTCCACATTGATTAGGCAGCTGAATCTCTGCGGTAACTGTTTCATGCACACTGGTGTCTTCCTGCTCTTTAGCTTCCTCTTGTTCATCATCTTTTATTTAGCTTGTAAACCCTTTCAAGGTGCAGTGACTTCTCCCATATTTGCATACAACATTGGCATGCCTATCAATGCCTATCAATAATTGGCATATCTATCAATAATTATTACAGTTCAAATAAATATAAGAAATAACTAGGGAATATATAATGGATTGGATTTCTTGAATTTCTTGCCTCATAGTATTTTCCCACCGAAGAGGATGTAATTTAGTCTTTTGTAAACAAGGTAATCATGCTTCTAGGGTCCATTTAGACATTTCAGTTCTATGAAACACTCATGCAATAGTGTAAAAGACTTTAAATATAAGCAGTTGGTATATGATTTAGAAAGCAAACTGCAGTTTCCACATTTTTTTTTAATAAGTAAGTGAAACTCTTAACATCTTACATATTGTATAGAGCTGAGGTATTACTTCAACATCATTTAAAAGTATTGTCTTCACTGGATGTTTTCTCTTCGAAATACCTCCACTGATGTATTGTTGAGGCTTGTTCATTAGCGCTTTTAGAGTCGGAGCATCCAGTAATAGACTACTTCCTTCCTGCCTTCATCTTGCTACTAAACTATTGGTCTCTGGTTATCTCTTCATTTTCCTCTGGAAAATGAAGGAGCACCTATGAAATGAAATCAGCAGCATGCACTAGCGGAATTCTTACAGTAGGTTATTTAACATAGGTCAGATCAACCCTAAGAAAAAATCATAGTCAGTTAAACTGATCTGTCTTTGCATCTTGGACACATATACTGCAGTTGGCATTTTCAAGCTGTAGTTTTATGATACAAAAATCCTCAGCAGTTACACCAGTTTGCAAGATTACAGCTCTTTCCAGCTGCTGGTCTGCAGTGTGCTACCCTAACTCTGTATGCAGTTGTGCTGTGAGCTCATCCAGCTTAAATCAGAACCCCTCAATGCTGGAGGCTATTATTTATCTCTTCCCAGATCCGGTTCAAAATGCTACCGTGCTGTGCTGCTCTTACTGCGGGAGGGAATATAGCAAGTGATAAAAGGAAAGGGAAATAGGAAAATCTCCCACTGGTAATCTAAACCTGTCAGCTTGCAGATATGATGACAGTTTCCCAGGAAAATGTTACTATGTAGAATGGAGATAAATAAGATTTTATTTTGCTCAAAAAAGCTTTATTATCTTAAAATAAGAGTCACAATGGCAGTATTGTTGGGGAAAACCTAACATTTTTTAGAATGGAAGATTTGAGGAAAAACAAAAAATCCCCATGTTCATATTAGTGGTATTATATGATTACTAGTCACCTAGTAACCGTATACTGTATGTTTATGCTATTTGCATATTGTAATATGTGCTTACTCTTCTCCTTATCAGCAGCGGAATAGGTGTATCTAAATCAAATCTGATGGTGTGTGTGTTGGTGGAGCAGGGGGGAGGGTTAATTAAAGATTACTTACTGGATTTCAGCCATCTTACCTATTAGCAGCATTTCATGAGTACATGACTGAGTACAAATAGGAAATATTCCTGTTTAGGCCTGTATTGTGTAGGAAAAGTGAAAACATAAAAAGAAACAATATTTGTGGAAACATATTCTACATTTGTCCTAAACGGTTGGAATCTGGCATAATGAAAGTGTACAGGTATGCTTTAGTGAACGTATTGTGGTTCACCAGAATGTTTTCTTCCTCAACAAGCTACAAGATATGTGGCAGAAGGAAGGAAGTTGTAATCTGTTGTCAAGAACTGGAGCTGCTTTCAGGCTTCCTTCCTGGTGATGGGGGGAACTGAAAAAAGAGCAAGAAGCTGGATTCCCAATTGTTGTATGGGACAGCAACATATTAGAAGGTGGGAGGGAAAAACATTCTCCTTTATATAGGAGAATGGCTTCCTGAGATGTCAAAACTGAGTGAAAATTGGAATTCTTACTGGGCTAACAAAATGGAATTCCCTCCCCCAAGCAGATCATCAAAGGGAATAGATATATGCCCGACTAAGTCCTTAGCACTGGAGCATTTTCAAAGAGGTTATTATCATATTACTTCTGTCCTTTGGGCTAATTAGACAATGGTATTGATGCTTGCATTTTTTAATGAAGTTGCTGTTTTATGAGAAACAGAGTTTTGGTCAATTTAGAATATTGATAATTTGATTAGAAGAAAACTCAATTATTTATTTTAACATTTTTAATTATTTCTGTCTAATATTTAAATATTTTTATTTTCCTAATAATTATATGTGTATAAATGTTTCTATTTTTTGTGGAGGCTTTGCAAAATGTTAGTCCTGTGGCAAATAGAAACTTTTATTATCCATTATATTTCGGAATATGATGAGAAGAAAAACGTGAAAATTTCAGGTTTTCAGGCAGGCTGTGTTTTGAGACCAAGATACACCATATTCAAAATAGTATAAAATTGCAGGGCTTATATAGTGGAGAAGAATTCATGCTCTCTATTGGGGTTACTCATGTACCTCTTTCTCCCTTTCTCCTCCTCTGTAAGGACAGAAAGAAGAAGGGGAAAGTTAGCTGCAACCCTACCTCAGTACACCCCTTTTTTGGTAGTCAGAGGAGCTCAAACACTGAAGCAGATGGATCTTTTAACTGCTAATTAGAGAACAAAATTATTTTCCTAGTTTTCATGTCCTCTTTTCAGTTGGATGTGTGTTTTGAAGCCAAATCTGGAGGGATAGCATAGCAAGGTAAAACAGTAGAAAAGGTTTAAATGTTTAAAATTTAAAATCTCATATCAATATTTGCATGAGACTGTCACATAGAAGTCTTATTTGATAGAATGGGATAACAGATGCTACCTCTCCAAAAAGAGCACTTTTTGACAATGCTTCATTTGGTGCTCCTTCTCTGAAATGAAGAGATGGGAACTGAAGTTCCTGGTTTTGAAGTAATTAGTGAAGATGGCCTGTGATTCTGAAACTGTATTGAAGTTGCAGATATCCATAGATGCTGCAGTTAAGAGACTGAAGAAGCTAAGTGAGAACAGAAGTCTGGCACCAGTAGATTCCTTTTCAGCATTTGTAGGTGAAAGTACTAATAGAGAGACTTGAATAGTCACTATCTAATGCTAACTGTTATTCAAAGCAAATATTTATTTTCAAGTTTACATCATGAAAATGAAGCCAAGATGAGGAGACTTGAGCAAAGTAGCATGGCCATGGTGACCAAGAGACAGCAACTGGTTACTGTTCTTATTTCACTGTGAGCAATCAGAGTATTGTGTGAGAATTTTTTCTGACTTTACTTTTCCTCTTTTCTGTCAGTGTCATAGTTGAAATCACACTGGACGATATAACTAGTCTTAAAAAACTGTCTCTTGCTCATCTGGGTTGTTCCTGTCTGCTTGACTTCATCAGAGAAGCTTTAGCAGACTGGCTACAAGAGCACCTTGGACTTCTCAGTGTTGTAGTCACCTGTGGTCTGATCTGGCCGCTTTGGACATGATGGCCTTTCAGTGCTGATGAGAACTGGTTATGGAACAGTGCGATAACCGGGGAAGATGCAGTCTGTCTTTGACATCAATAACCAGAAATCCTAAACACTGGAACAACCCAGAGGAGAAAAACAGCTACTGTTTTTCTCTCTTAAATTTTATTAACAGAGGTTAAAAAATTTACTTGTCCTGTGGCAATCCTAACCAAGGGGCAGCTGTGGTTGGCTTCTAGTTATGCCAGGATCTTTTGTTGAGAATGAAGGACATAAAATATTTAAGATGGCTAAAATCCAAGAGTACAGAGCATTCTACCACTGATGAGAATTGCTCTGTGAATAACTGAGGGCTAAATGACACTTTGATACGTATCCATTGGTTTCAGAACACACAAACTGGTAAATTTGGTATCCATCTATTTTATAAAAAGTCAACATTTTAAAAGAAGTATTTTCCCTGATATTATAAGAAAGGATTATATCACGCGTCTTTTGGAGGGAGGGGGGAGGACTTGAGCAGAAATGGAGGAAAGACCTGAAAATGCTGTTATCAAGATTAATGGTGGGCATTGCTTCCAGATGTTGAGCCCATAAATATGAGAACAGCCTTTGTGCTAATATTCTTTGTTCCTGGCATTATGGCAGTTCAGTGATATTTCTAAAGATCTTCTGTTTCATAACAGAATAATTTAAATCGGCAGGGACTTCTGGAAGTCATCTGATCCAACGCCTGCTGAAAGCAGATCCTATTAGATCAGATTGCTCAGGGCTGTGTCCAGTTGAGGTTTTTAAATATCTCCAGGGATGGAGATTTTTGCAATCTTTCTGGGCAACCTGTTTCACAATTTTGACAACTGTGAGATTTTTTTTTTCTGATATATATAATTGGAATTTCTCATTTTGCACCTTGTGTGCATTACCTTGTCTTCACTGTGTACCTCCAGAAAGTGTTCAAATTCATCTTCTCTGTACGCTCCACTGTGTAACCAAAGACAGCAGAAAGGTTCCCTCATTCCCTCTCCCCTTAGCCGTTTATGCTTAAGACTGGACAAACCCCTTTCTTTCATTTTCTACTTAGATATCATAGGCTCCATGCCGGAGGATTTCCTCCGGGCTTACTCTAGCATGTTAATGTCTTTTCTTTACTGGAATCCCCAAACTGACCACAGTACCCCCAGATATTCACAGGTGCTGAAGAGAAGAAAATAATTGCTTCTCTTGACCTGCTGACTGCTGGCCTAATACAGGCCAGGATACTGTTGACTACGTTTTGCCACAGTGGTACACTGATGATCTTACCTTGCCTGAGGATGTTGTGAAACAGCCTGTGTCTTCAATGCAATGATTTTAATACCGATCAAGGGCTGCACTGAAATCAGAATAACACAGCTAGTCTCTATTTAAAAAAAAAAAAAAAGTTAATTGCCTTCCTCCATTGATCCTGTGTGGAAATTTCATTTAATAAAGGAATGGAATGTGTCTGTCCCTTTGTTTCATAAGTTCTACAGGGAAATCTCTGTGC